GTTTCTATATAGTTATTCTTAATGACTGTAACTAGGTTGGATTCCCCTTGAAATCAACGAACCAAGGCTGAAGAAACACTACCGCTTTTGTCCACAGGGGTCACCAGAATCAACCAAAGAAAGGCTTTACAGTACCTTTTGCTTTACTTTTTAGTTGGAAAGGAAAAAATACACGATTCTTGCTTTTGTATTTGGTGAAATAACAAGAAAACTGACTACGATGGATCCTAAAATAGAAGCAACAGTTAGCGTACCTTAAAAAGTTAAGCTGTGACAGCAAATATTAACTCTCAAATCCAAGCATGAACATGCAGTATTTGTGTTTTCCTTTTCTTAAATTAGTTTGCCTAGCCTTATTTTATTTGATTTCATTCATGCCCTGTGTTTTGAGTATTTTTTCCTGTGATGGAAAAGGCAGAGAAATCTTTGGTGTTATGAGACTATTTTTGAGTTCTTCATGGCAACACCTGAAAGCACCGTCATGCTTATATATTCAAAGCTCTACCTCCTTTTACAATTTATGCACAACACCGCCAGTCTAATTTACACCTCGCACACACACAGAAACACCCATATGGGACTGGCTGGCCAGTTAATGCAGGATCAAACAGTTATTTAATCTTTTCATATGAGTGTTGTTCTATTCATAACTGCCTGACAGGTCAACCGACCCTCTGGGAGGCCACTCCAGATGGCCATTCACACGCCTGACGAGACCTCGAGCATACGGTTTAGCAGCCGGCTGTAATGTAGCAGTCAGGTTCACAGAGTTTATAATCGGAAAGGTTTAACTGCAGTTTAGCTTTTAATGATTCTCAGACCAACAGAGCGACTCAGTTACAGTTAAGTAGCTGGTTGCAGTCAGTTGTGTAAAATAAAACAAAACAGAACCACTTTGCTTACATATTATTGCTTAAAAGATGTTGAGATATTTCTGTCTCCAGTAGTGAAAGTGGGCTCTGATGTCCTCCTTTAGTGGGGACCTCACTGACCGAGATGAGCAGCCACAACGTCCCCGGAGTGACGGCGCAGTCGACCAGAGGCAGAGGAAGAGTGTAGGGTTCGACCATGAAGGTAGGAAGAAGCAGTTCCTTTCTCTGCCCTGCAGACCTGAACTAAATTGGAGGTGCTGCAGCGTAGTGAACGGAGAAGAGGAGTTGTGAGGGAAAACTTGGAACACCAGGTGGGCTGCAGTGTTCTGGACCACCTGCAGAGGTTTGGTGACAGACGAAGGGCCTCCAACGAGGACGGGGTTTCAGTAGTCCAGCTGGGAGATGAGAAGCTCTTGTAAGAGCACCTGGTGAGGAGGTGGTGAATCTTCTTTATGCTTTAACTGAGGAATCTTATTGTCGAGGGTAACATCCAGGTCCGAGCTGGCACCAGAGGATTGTCAGAGGGGATGAATGGTGAATACCTTCAAGAGGTCTGCCAGGCGAGCAGTAACGAGCTTCAGATGAACTGACACTACATATTAGATTTGTCCTGATAACGTCTGTGACTTCTAATCAGTATTGTATACCATGTATTACAGTCAAGAGACTTTTTATTCCCCATTTTCAGAGCGAACACTTTATGAAAGCGCTGGCATGAAAACAATCACGTTTCAAGAACAAAATAAAAAGCGCAGATCCATCAAAACTAAAAGGCAGCGGAGGCAGAAACAAACACAAAGAGAAAAATAAAATGGGAAACATTAAACTTTAACTAAGTAGAGTTCATTATGTTCCAGCTGCCTTCCTGCAGGTACGAACACTTTGATCACCTCAAAAACTAGAGCATGAATAACTCAGTCCCGTGTTATTTAGGCAGCGAGTTATAACTAAAAACAAAACCCCAAAAACATCAGTGTCACTGTGGAACTTCACCATGGGGGAATTTGATCAACTTGTGTGCTTGAGGAATATTGATAAAGGCGACGGCAGCTGCTGAAATACACCAGCTGGTTGGTTTCCTGTTTTTACTGGAAGGTTTTGTACATTTCTGACAGCATGACGAACAAAACAACAAGAGGGGATATTAATTCTCGGCTACACTGAAGGATAAAGCAGCTTCGAAATTTAAGAAGTCAATCTGCCTGGAGAATTAAGACACAGCAGTCGAGCACAGTGTGTGAAAGAAGTTATTTGTGGTTGTTTGGAAGCAAGTGGGCTAAAAAAAAAAAAGGTGTAAATATGAATCCAAAGTGAAGAAGTAAAACAATGTTTTCTAAATCAGCGTAGCGCGAGTGTGCGGTGTGCAGCTGCTGAGATATACTTAAGCATTTGGTTTGTTGGTGTTTCAGATTTGTTCTTGCTGTTCTGGCAGAGAGAGCCGCAAACACAAGAATAAATATCCCCAAAGAGAGACCAAACTCATAACAACTCGGCCCGGTTGGAACTTATACACAAACAAAACAGCGGCACAGGAGGTGGCAGTGACTGAAATATATCTGGTCTGTGAGACAAAAGAAAAACACAGACAGTTGTATATCTTGGATCTTGCATAAAGGAGGCACATATTTAAACCCAGGGATGCACTAGCAGATATACAACAGATGGATATATGGACAAATCTATAGAGGGTATAGAAAGGAAAAGGCTCATTGCACAGCAGGATTTCATCAGCTGCACTAATCAGTTTTTATATCAACAACTGATGAAATGAGTGTAAAGTGAGAGGTGAGGCTGAGATTGCAGTTCCCCTCAGCGCTACTAAGCATTTTAGCAACTTTCAGCTCATTGTTTTGGTTTCAAAGCCCAAAACTTTACCGTTTAACTCAGTGTCAATGCGCTCATCAATCTCAAATCAGCACAAAAAGCTCTAAACAAGCACAGTATACAACCCGTCTTGCCCCAGACAGACAAAGTTAGCAACTACTCGGTGGGCACAGGAGCTAACAGAGCTACAAGGAGACAAGGACAGAAACACGACTTCAAATTAAAGCTAATGTAGCTTACGTGTCTGATAAGCAACTAACTGCTAAGATGTTCGCAAAATATCAACTTCATAACGTGATAATATGTCAACTATGATTTTGAGTGTTAAACTCTTAAAAAATAATAGCTAGGGATGTTTTTTAATAACTTTTACTTTGACTGTTGCTTAGTTAGTCAAAATGATCTAATACTAATAGAGAAATAATAGATTTGAAACCAGGTTTGTGTCCTCCTGACCTTTGGTGGACTGCTTTGTAGAAGAGAGGCAGGGAGTCCAACAGTATGGTTGACACCTGATTTACATTTACATACATGATTTACATTTACATTGTATATTAATCTGGAATTATATTCTCAATTAATATATTAATTTGGCAGACAAAATGTCAGAAGATGGTAAAAAAGACATTAAATATTAAGTTAACAATCATATATGACAAAAAAAGCAACAAATTCTGCAAAAAGTAGCCAAAGTCAGACGATATTTTGGTATTTGTGCTTTATAAATGACTGAAATAATTAGCCAACTATACAAATAGTTGATGATTAATGAATTAATGTACTCTCCCCTTTGTCCTGAGGCAGGCTGTTAACATTATAAAAACTAGCCTGCAGTGTTAAATGACCTTAAAATGATAAGGCAAGACCATATAACCAACAAATGTTGGTTCTACAATGTTTTTGTCCTTTAGACTAATTGAAATAAACAATTTACTGCATTTTGACAAGTTATTACATTACATTACCTAAGCAGTGAACCGCTGCAAGTCAGGTCTGCCTGTTAAGTGTTTCTGTAGTATTGGTTTAATATTTCTGCTCTGACAGCAAGACAAACAAATCAAGACTTGCTGAGGGAAGTTTAAAGTAGTTTACAGACGCAGACGTACTGCTGCTGAGGAAAATTAGTCATTTTGGTCTCAGCAGTTTGCTTTAATTAGCTTTTTGTCAGCTCAATAGAAAAAAACATGAAATATGAAAGTGAACAACAACATTTAAATTAAACAACTGAGCCTAGTTAGAGAAATAAAACAGAACAGCAGGTGAAACTTTTGTAATTTTGATCATATTTGTTTCCCTATTTGTTGGAAGAAAGAGCTCCGAGCGGAATAGAGTTTTGTGCGGCGGTGAATTTGTATGCGAGGGACATGTTCACGCATTGCTGCTTCTTTAGGGAGCAGATTTCCCGGCACAACACTGAAAGAAGGCTGTGTGCTTAACCTTTTAATGTTTCTGGGATTTGATCTCTGGGGTTTGAAGCACTTGTGTCACACCGTGTTCTGTATTGCCTCAGAAACTTTGTTGAGGTGAGTACACAGGATGACAAATTTGAGACATTTTAAATGCTTCCCGCAGTTGAACCGAGGCGTTTTAAAGTAACAAAATCAAGCAAACAAAGCGAGTGTTTTTGTGATGGAAGAGAGGTCGTGAATCTTATGAAACTACTATGTAAATGGGCCGTGAGAAGTGGATACTGTGTTTAGTAAAGCAGACAGGAGGCATATTGTACCACTAAACCTGTGCTGTTTTAAAAGGTGCCTGTGTGGAGTTTTGACAGCCTTTGTTGGCGCTTTGTTACGCTTCTTCAACACATTACTAATGGTCATAAAACAGGAGGTAAGAACATGCATGTGTCATCTGCTTGTAAAAACAGAGTAATAGGATACCTTTAAAGGTCTAGTGTGTAACATTTAGGTGGAAGAAATAGAATATAATATTCATAGATATGTTTTCATTACTGTATAATCAGCTGAATATAGTAATCGTTGTGTTTTTGTGACCTCTACAGACACATGCAGTCTGCAATGTTGAACTTCCGTGTTTCTAAAGTAGCTTTTCGTGTAAGAATATGGTGTATAATCTGTGTTCAGGCCTACCCGATAGGTGAAATTGACCAGAGATGTTCCTTTTCTCCCTCCCTCGACTTCTATGTGAACGGGTCCACTCATGGTTGGTTCAAACGGGAGGTCAGATGGTGGAACTCGCTTCGCTGGGCCAATCTCACACACCACGCTGTGGACGGAAAGAGAGGGACTTCTGGTTAGGGCTGCAACCGTTGGACAGCTTCACTGTGTAGAGTGATATATGTCACTGATTCGTGTTTAATGGAACTTTTAACCACTTGTGACTTCCTCCACTTCCTCAACAAACTTCATCCACTGAGAAGTGGATGAAGCTGTGGTTTGAAGCTCTGGCAGAAGTGTAGTACCTGGACCTTGAGTTAGGATTTAAACTTCAATTTAACTGTCATTGAAGCCTAATTCCACACACACAGTACAAACCAAAATCTATCCACATTAAGTTAGATAAAACACAAAAGGAAACAGCATGATATAAAACCTGGAACACATGGAGCAACAGTCATCTGTAAGTAACATCATCAACATCGCAAACCCATCCTTAATCCCCCGTGGCAGCGTCAACATCAGCTGGTAAATGTTTGACGTTGAAGGTATTTGACTGGCTCAGAATAAGTGTACACTGTAAAATCAACAAAAAGCCGAGATAACAAGCAGCCCTGCTGGTGTTTCACCTGTATTAGAAGTTAGAGGTGATACTCAGTTATCTGTAGTAATTAATTAACGGAGCAGCAGCCTGTCAAAGGTCCATGTAAAGAGCTTAACCTTAACGTGTAAGAGACAACATGAAGGGCCACGTTAACGTCGCTGCTGTCACTACTGTTGGACTACCTGGTAGAGACGGAGTATCTGTCCGCCTGGTGAACACAGTCCACTCCAGCCACTGTGATCTTCTTGATGTCTTCCTTCTTTATTCCCATGTTGGAGCCTCTGATGGTCACTGAGATCCGACCGTTCAGAGGGCCGAAGCGAGGGATGATCTGCAGAAGGAGAGAACAGATAGTAATGAAGATGTATAAAAGGAGATGATCACACTCAACCACATCCAGCAGCGACTCTTTGGATAAAACTTGTGTCCAGCTGATATTTAGTTTGAGTTTTAACTCACACGTCCCCAGCTGATTGTGACTGATTGAGCCCGTTTCTACTTTTTACAACTTTCCCCTCCAAAAATTCTGGTTTTATTTATGTCCGGACATTGTGACCTTTTGTTTTAATTAATTCCCACAAAGCGAACAGCCGATGTGATCGATGAATCTCCTGAGCTGAGTCTGATAAATTTCTCTTGTGATCAGTTTTGTTACTAGATAATGATCCAAACCAGAGGTTCCCAAACTTTTTCATGTCATGGATGCCCAAAATAGATGCACATTAGATCACAGACACCCAGGATCGTGTCCGTTTGGCACTCATCGGCCCTCACCTGCAGCTTTTCTGGCCAACTGAGCATGTTGAATCGGCAGCGGAGGCCATCTGTGATTGGCTGTTCAACTTAAGCAAATCAGTGCATGAGAACAGAAACGGAAGTGAGCATTTGTCGGCTTTGTCTAATCATTCTAATACAAGGATATTTTATTCTATTCGTTGGGGACCCCAACAACCAAATGCACCCTTGTTGGTCCCCGGACCCCAGTTTGAAAACTACTGCTCTAAACAATCGGTCATTAAATATGTGGCCTTTACTTTGTAATCTAGTGCCTCTGCCATTTCTAACTGAAGGTTGTTATATTTCAGTATAGTTTCATAATTTCTTCCAATGTTTGCATCTGATGATGGTCACATCAGGGCTACATTTATTGTTATTGTCTGAATTAATTATAGGTATCAAAGTTGTAGCAGTACAATATAATCCGTCTGCATCCTGCGAGATGACATAATTGGGACAGTATTGATTAAGACGTTGATTTAAACAATCTGCAGAGACAAATCAAAATCTAAAAGACGCATTGTATCAAAAAAGGCTGCACACATCTGCCACAGTTTGGGCCATTCCAGCGATTCTGTGTATTTAATGCTTCTTGTCTTCTTGCCAGTTAAAAGCTCTCGACAAAAAAGCTCAAATGTTGATGCGGAAATAACAAACAACTCTTGACCTAATCAGCTGCCGCCCAGAGGAAATCGAGACGTGGGCCTGAAACAAATGACTGATGTTCCAGAGAAAATAGGAAACAAATTGAAGTTGTGCAGCAAAAGGAGACAAACTGCGAATACAATATGAGGGAGAAAAATGAGTTCTGTTACACTGAAGAGTAGAGGTGATTGATTGGGAAATTGCGTTTGTTAAAAAGCTGTATGCAGTTTGAAAACGTAGAGTTTGATCTAAAGATGATGATGAATTGTTGAAATGGACGTGGAAAGTTCCAGAAATCCGATCTGTGAAAGTGAAGTAATCGAGCCGATTGTCCAAACAGATGCAGTGATTCTTCTCATCCTTTATTTCTCCCTCACACAAACACACAAAAGTTGCACTTTGAAGCCACCGAAGATCTTCACACTGTGTGTTACTTAGTCAGTCTGTGTATACGTACGTTAAATGTGTGTATAATCATTTAATAGTGTGTTCATAGACGTATTTTAGAAACTCTGAGTGTGTGTTTGTGTAAAGGAGATTGTCTCAAATGGTTAAATGAATATAATCTTTTAATTTAGTCTAATAATAAGTATAACCATGTTTAAAATCTCTTATAATCACTAAGTACATTTACTTAAGAACTGTACAGTTTGCATGTTCTTGTACTTTTGAGTGTTTCCATTGTAGGTCACTTTATAATCATATACTACATTTATGTGATGAATTGAGTTACTAGTTACTTTACGGAAAGTGGAGCTAATTTGAATTACTTTAAATACTTTCCCCCATGGATCAATAAAGTTGATCCTATAATAATTATATCATAATATATGATTATATTGATTATATTTTGTGATTTAATCAGAATCTTAAAAGTAAACAAAGTTATCAAATACATGTTGTGGAGTAAAAAGTATAAAGCAGCTCAAAATTGTACTTAAGACCACAGTACTTGAGTAAATGTACTTAATAAATAAATAAATAAAAAATAAAAAAACGTAATAAAGTTACTTTCCACCACTGACTACTGTAACTTAAAGCTTAAAGCTACAGTGTTCAAACCTCCTTTATCTTTAACCCAAATAAACGTGCGTGAAGTTCACAACCAGACACATTTCACAGGCATAGTGCATTGTGGTAACTCACGTCTGTGATTTCCGGGTCGGGGCACTGTGCCGGCTGCGGTGACGGGCAGACATCCCGGTAAACACAGGTGCGTGAGGCAGCGCACCAAACGCACTGGTACGTGGCGTCGGCGTGTTTACACAGACTGCAGTCTTCTCTTCCCACTGAGCAGTTATACAGCACCACTGAAGAAGAAGGAGAAGAAGGAGAAGGTTTGAGCTAATTAGCATAATTCAGGCTGGAGATGAATTGGAAATACAGAAGCTCAAACCAGCGTAATAACTGCGCTTTCACCGACCTTTGTTGATGTGTTGTGCTGACGCTGTGTGTGTGTGTGTGTGTTTATAGAAGTGACACACCAACCTGTCAGGGTGCTGTCAATCTTCCTCTCAGTGTCTCTGTCTTTGATATGGAAGGATACGTTCACCTCCTGCTGCTTGTCATAGGCAAACTGCACACACACACACACCACACACAGCACACACACACTACCACACACCACACACACACACGGTTTTGCATTAACACAGAGTAACAAAACATTCCCTATTTGGAGCTCTACATTAAATTACTTTGCATCCATCTAACTGTGAAGGTCAGAACACACACACACACACCCACACACACACACACACACCACACACACCACTTACAACATGCAGACACACACTCCTGTACGCCATAAATCAAGGGACGGTTTCCTTCAGGATGTGTGTGTGTGTGTGTGTGTGTGTGTGTGTGTGTGTGGGTGGGTGAGGAAAGAGAAAGAGAGAAAAAGAAGAAAAACAAAAGGATCATGTAGAGACAAATACAAGAGATAATGAGGGAAATCAGCAGTGACACACACACACGCACACTTTAAACGTGTATTGGCAGTCTTAGACTCAGCATGAGGTGAGGATCAATGGAGGCAGAAAAGTGGAAAAGCTGAGGGGTGTGTAATAAAGACACACAATGCAATACAACACACAAACACACACACACACACACACACACACACACTATAGGCTACCTGCAGTTCAGTGACTCAGTGAAAATATGTGCATTGTAACCCATTAGGGGGCGCCATAACACACCCGTGGACCTCTATGAATCAGCAGTGTGAGCTCGACTATTAAAACTGAAAGACAAATAAATTATAAACCTAAACATCGTTAAAATATAAACACCAGACGTCAAACTCAACTACACAGAATGAAAGAAAAACAAACAGAACAGAGCTGGGAACCTTTTTCTGTCTCACAATCACGTTCATTTACTCACAAATTAACCACTAATGATTCACTAATTGTCTAATTATCATTGATGATACACTCCCCGGTTTTGTTATAACGCCTGGTAGCACTCGCAGTCGAGCTTTAAAAACATAAACAGAGAGCCGGGAGGAAATGTAGGCATTCTGCGGGGCTGCTAATGGACACAATAAAAGAATCAGAGAGTATCTCTAAGTGGACAAAACAGGTTTAATTTAAGCAGTTTGGTGCAGAGGGAGGAAAGCAACTGATGTGGCACTATACTGACAAACAGTGATTGCTTTCTGTTTATAGCTTCACAGTTTAATTTTATTATTTAAAAGCCTTCCTGTTCAGCACTTTCTTTCGCTCTGATTTTAGATTAGTTATTTATATCTCGCTAACTAACGTCCGCTACGACGCAAAGCTTCTTTTATCGACTGCTTCGTCACTACTTCTAATTTCCGCCCTTTGACTCATCTTTGGGTTTAATTACTGAACTTTCTGTGGCAGTAAACTCTCCAAATGTATTTCTGAGGGCAGTTTTAAGATGATTCAAAGATGAGAATTTACCTTCTTGGTTATCTTTACCTCTGGCAGATGGATATGTATGTTCATATCTCTTGGTACATTACAATAATACTTGTAATTGCAGTAAGTAATGAGGTAAATAAATTAAGCACATAAGAGACAATTATACGCAGGTCTCCTTTACTAGCTTGGTGTGGCTAGGTCTCCATTAGAGGGCTGGTCTAGACTTTATAGAAGCTCTTTGGACGTATATAACATCTTAAGCGAGTTCTGAGCCGCTTAAAGCGCCTCCACAAATATAAACGTTTATAATATTTATATATTTGATCAATTTAAATCAACAATTTGAATTTATTTCCCATCTTTGCTGAGTAAGAGTTTAGTGCAGAAGTAATTAAAGGCCTGTCCCATATAGAGGCCTGTCCCATATAGAGGCAGGTTGGGTTCAGTGATTGAAGCAAATAAAAGCCTGAGCTAATAATTAGTTTGATAAATGTTAAACATCAGCATGCTAACCTGTCTACCATGTTCATCATCTTTGTTTAGCATGTTAGCATGCTAACATTTGCTAACGTTAGCACTAAACACAAAGTGGAGCCGAGACTAATGAGAACGGTATTAATTTTGCAGGTATTTGGCCATAAATTGGACAAATTAAAGTGAGAATTAAAAAGAGATCATCAAAGTTAAGTCCAGTAGTTGTCAAATTATTTCGCTAAAAACCACATATGTCAACTTTCTAGTTTGGACCAATGTGACTGACTGACAGACCGTCCTTTTCATCCTTAGAGACACTATTTTATTAGCTGAACATTAAATTAAATTAAATTAACATTTATTTTTATAGTAACAAGAATACAAATGATTCAACTTAATTGTAAAACATGAAACAGATTAGTTGTGTCTGACTGATAATTTGGTTATTTACTGTTCTGGTATAAATAGCCCTTCTCTTAACGTAGTTATAAAGCGCTTTGACAAAGAACAAAGGAAACCCTAATAAACTGATTGAATGAATATTATGTACAATGGTCCACTTCACTGTGGATTTTGTTCATTGTGGTATTAAATCAATTCAACACAGACGTCTGGGGAACTTCAAAGCTGAACTGATCATAATGAGATGCTTTGATCAAACTCGTGTGCGAAGGAATATTTGTTTTATTACTGTTATCCAGCAATATGTACGTAACATGACGACTTCATCTGAAATTAACAGTGTTTACAGTTGTTGTTGAAACGCTGTGGCCGTCGCAGAGAGGGGAGGAGGAGATAATCAGGTAGTCTCTCCCGGGGGACATTCGTAGCATTGTACTTGGTTGGTTGTTGGAGTGGAAAGTGAAAGTTACAGAACTGGTTGGACGCAGAGGAGGTTTCTGAAGCTGTTCGACCCTCCGACAAGCACGACTGACTGAGGATACTGGCTGCTTTAGTGTCTTGTTGCCCCATAAATAACAGGAATAAACCTGATTACGTTCACATCTAACTCCACATATTACAGTAACTCCTGTTGGTGTCTAGCGTCCTTTACACTGACCTCATAACCTGTGAATTTAAACTTCGACCCCTGCTCCTGCGTGACCTCCTTGTCTGTGTGCTTCATCAGCTCCGTCCCGATGGCAAACCTCCGGCCCTGGAGACACAGAGGGACATTATTTACACAAAATAAACCACAGCCCTGGAGATGGTTATAGTCATCAGTTGCTGTGTAACTCACCGTGTAGATGTCCAGGTTTCTACCCTGGAAGCTGATGGGGATTTCAAAGCCTACGGGGATTAACAGCGGCTCCGGAGACTCAAACTGAGGACAACTGTCACGCTGGATCGCAGAAAGAGAGACAGAAGCACATAATAGTACAGTACAACCCTTCAAATCAAATCATCATCTAAAGATATATTTTACTACCATGGAAGTCATTTAAAATGAAATATAACGGTTTTTCAGTCATTTTGAATTAGGGCTGCAACTTACTGTTATTTTCATTATAGATTAGATGATTTTCTTGATTAATTGCTTTTTAAAAGCCCAAAGGGATGTCTACAAAAGTCTTGTTTTGTCAGACCAACAGCTCGAAACTCAAATATATTCAGTTTACACCGATAAAAGCAGCCAGTACTTTGCTTAAAATCTGACTTTGGTTTACAGTAATCACAAACTCTTAGGAATGGCAAAAACATATGCATTTTTCCAACAAAATTAAAATAAATCAAAAAGGTATCAAGTAAAATAACTCATTAACATCAACAAGTCACAGATTATACACACACACACACACACACACACACACACACACTTACCTGTTGTGGTTTAACGATGTGATCTCCACTTACACCGTCATCTCTGTCGCTGCAGCTGTGATCCCGAGCGTTCCACTGACAGCCCCATTCGCTGGTCACACACGCTATACACCTGAAAACACCCCAGATGTTAGGATGTGAGAGTGTGTGTGTTTGTGTGTGTGTGCGTGTGTGTGCGTGTGAGATCTATCTTACGGTGTGTTTTGGTTCTTCCTGACCGTAGCAGCACAGTTGTAGAAGCGATACTCTCCAGACGTCACCTCGATTTTGTTGTTTACGAGAATCTTGACTGGGACCGAAACATAGTCTGAACACACACACACACATACACAACACACACATACATACATACACAACACACACACACACACGTAGACAGACACACACAGAGCATTATTGATTGAGTGTAACGTTATCTAGATGGGATCATTTCTATTGATTTAGAAAGAGGGGTCACTCTGATCAATGCTATCTGCTCGTCTGCTGTGTCATTAGAGCAGAGCCTGAGTGCCAAAATATCTGACTATCTTTTCTTTCCTCTTAGAAAGGCCACTGAGCACGAGAAGGAATTACTTGTTTGATCTCAGGTATCAACAGCGCCCGACACTGCCGACGTGCCCCGGAGCAAGGGCATCTATATGTCATCTGTGTTTACGCTGTCCACTCTGCTCAAAGGACTTGTACAGAACGTTGGCTAACAACCGCTAAACAGAGATAACAGGGGTAGTAGATCACGAGGCGAGTCCTTTGTAGTCACAGAGGAAGGGTCGACTATGAAGGCAGGGTCACTAGGCTTCAAATGTGATGAGGAAATTTGAATGATATGTCGTCTTTCTGCATTTGAATAGAAAATGACAAAATGGTTCGACTCATCTCTATTATTGTATCAGGGTAGTAGTAGTGGTTATTTAGCTAGTAGCTAAATCTGGTACATCTCTTCTATTTTCACATCAGCCATTTTGCCATGAAATAGTAGGGTAAACAGGTGTTATCGGTGATACTAATTATGCTCCGTTCCATTCAGGTCAAACAGAGTAAGGATGCTGCTATATTGTGCATGTTGGGTGACTGGAAATACTCTGCTACTCTAAATGGAACAGAACCTTAGTATCATCACCTGTGTTTATCCTAATATTTTATGGTAAACTGGTTGCTGTAAAAAAGGTTTATTGCAAAGGGTTACTGAAAATATAATAAAAAATAAACTGATAAGTCCATCATGGCCTCACAAATGTTAAATTCATGTTTTCATAGGTGAAATGTCACATTTCACACATGAAATGTCTTCTCTTTTATGTGAATTTTATCATATAAATTGTAAAAAGCAAGGATACATTTTATATGGAGTATAATATTCATAGGTATGTTTTCATTAATGTATAATCTCTGTCCATTACAGTGTGTCAGTTGGAGTCGTACAAATGTGTGTGTGTGGGCATGTGTGTCCCTCGGGCTGTTTTGACCAGATGTGTCCCTTCTGCCCATCATTTTTTGCACCACCGCTCCTTAAACTTAATTAAGCACACACTTGTTCACACACACATACACACACACACAGGTTTGTATTAATAAATACATAGTCGACCAAGATGTGAAAAAAAGCAACAGGGTGCTTAAGAAGGTGACAGCGAGAGACATCTTATGACTCAAACGCAAATAAAAATAAATTAGTCAACAGGATGTTTTAATCAACAAGCTTATAAAAAAGTCTATCAGTTAAATATTATTCACTCAGTCAGTTATGGTTTCTGGAGCCTAATCAGAAGTCACTGCAGTCTTTTCAGCTTGATTACTGGTTTCCACTCATTTTATTTTACTATGACGGAAGATGCCGCTTCCTGACCTCCAGGTGTCTTTAGTCTGAAATTGTTCCCTCGAGTATCGACAAAAATGTTTAAGGAGTTATGTCATTTTCCTGTGGCTGTGAGGACAAGAGGTTCACACAATGACAGGAGTGAATACTCTCCCTGTTCACGCACACAGTCTCGCTTTATCTCTCTCTCTATCTCCTTCACACACACACACACACCTACACACACACACACACACACACACACACATACATGCCGTATGTTCATGCACAACATACATGGATATACGTTGG